AGAGAGACAAAGAGAGAGACAGAGAGAGATACAGAGAGAGAGAGACAGAGAGAGACATACAAAGAGAGACACAAAGTGAGAGAGAGACAGAGAGGTAGACAGAGATATAAGGAGATAGAGAGACAGAAATAGAGAGAGAGAGAGAGAAAGAGAGAGAGAGAGAGAGAGGGAGAGAGACAGAGAGAGGGAGAGAGACAGAGAGAGTGAGAGAGAGAGTGAAAGAGAGGGAGAGGAAGAGTGAGAGTGAAAGTGAGAGTGAGAGTGAGAGTAAGAGGGAGAGTCAGGGAGAAGGAGAGATAGAGGGAGAGAGGGGGATAGAGACAGAGAGTCACGCAGAGAGAGACACAGAGAGAGAGAAAGAGAGAAGAGTGAGAGAGAGAGAGGAGAGAGAGAGAGAAGATTCAGCAGGTTCTTATTTTTTAAACATCAATTCCCTTACCTTTGCTATGCCAGTACTCACCAAGGTACTTGAAGCCATCCGTCTACGTTTCTCTCACGAAGAATGTATAGTTGTGCTGCCGCTTACTTAGACAAGGTACGAACTTTCGCGTCCGATTGAAGGTTATGAAGAGACCAAAGAGGGGAAGGCAAGCGCAACGAAAACGAGGAAAAGCTACAGTCACAACGGAACAAAGAATGTCGATTGTTACTGGACGATGACGAGACCAGTACGATATTTGACAAAGCGGTCTAACTACAATTCGAAGCAGCATTCATAACCTTAAACCTTTAAAGTTGGAAGGCTATCGGTTAGCGCTACGGAGATGTGTTGAAGCTAGGTGTTAGGACGTCGAATATCTCAGTACTCTGCCAGTTGTGTGCCTAGTTATTGCACTTTCTGATTGTATATAGTGTCCAGTTACAGTGATGGAGAGTTACTCTTAACTCGTATCCATTATGTCCTTTTCTTTTCTACATTTATTTATGGCTCAAAATCCGAGTTTCAAATTATTATTATTATTATTATTATTCATTATGTGCTTGCTCGCGTAGACATCAGCATGGCCTGCAGCTGCATTAACGGGCATGCAAATCATGCAAACCAGCCAAAAGTGTTCGCATAAGCCACTTCGAATAGATTAAAACAATATAGATGTACTCAAAATGTCGCGAGGTGAAATGAAAAAAAAGTGTCTATGCGAACAACAAGAGGTGTGAACAAAAACTACAAAGGAATATGAGTATATGTATATGTTGGACTCAGTAGAGCGTCCAGCCCCTATATGATGTCCAACCCCTATATAGAGTCCATTGGTCCAAAATCCACTGTACAGAGTCCAAACTTGGAATCAACTGTGAGCTCAAAGTTTAGATGGACATCACTCCCTGCATAGAGTCCAGCCAATTGGCTTCACCCCTATATACAGTCCATTGGTCCAAAATCAACTGTATGGAGTCCAAACTTTGAAATCAACTATAAGGAGTCTTTATGTGGACAACACTCCCTGTATAAAGTCCAGCCAATTAGGCATCTCTTATCCAGAGTTCGAAATTAGACATAGGATCTGCTGTAAGCAGTGACTATTAACCAGAAAACGGCCTCTCCCTTTAATCCTTTACATCATTTACTTCTCAAGATAAAAAAATAAGTATTGAGGCGCCACTGCAGCCATTTCATTACATGAAAAACCCTACAAATACCATCCTCAAATCAAGTGGTCTCTTCGCAGACGCTGCAAATTACAATATCTCAATTATGTAGTGCTGCCAAATTATTGTGCACGCACACACACACACACATGCACACACCTACACAACGCCAAGAAAATACCTAGAAAAAACCAATAATCGAAAGAGAATAATGGAGAGCCAAGGATTAATTATTTGTTTTCTAATTATTGTGCGCATGCACACACACACACACATGCACACACACACACACGCACGCACACACACACACACACACACACACACACACACTCACACACACACACACATACACACACACAAATTTATACACCGCCAAGAAAACACTAAGAAAAGAGTAGAGACACAATACACACGCAACTCCAACAGCCATGCAAACGTCCACCCATTTACACGTAAAGTCAAGAGGAATAACAAATAATTATACGAAACGAATGCATACGTGGGCGGATGCACGCACGTTAACATACATGTAGTAGTGTTAAAGAGTAACATAGTGCAGTAGTCAGCATAATACTAGCACATGCTGAGAGTGCAATAGCAAGCTTCAACATTGCTCATGGCCATGCAAATGTTCAGCAGCACTCAGTTCCGCAAGCTTCTGAATATCAGCACACCTGCCACAAATAGATAGCACAAGGATACGCTTATTACTGTAATGATGCATGGGAGCACACAACTACCAAGTTCTCAACGAATGTGATGCTCAATGAAAATCCATCCATACAAAGACCTGTGAACAGGTGACGGTGTGGACAATAATCTATTAGTAATACGATGAATAAGATCGTTTGTGCACACTCAAGACGCACAGACACACCACCATACATGTAGCGTACACAGTGTTTCACTTCACTGCAACTAAATTGAAATGAGATGATTTAAACAATCTGTACAGTGTTCAGTCAGTCAGTCTTCCCCAAGATGGAAATGCAATGATTTGTTGTCACGAGGCAGTTTCACTGACACAATGTCATGTTTTTGACATCAAAACGGTTACTTCATGGAATACGAGTACATGTATTAGCTTGAGAAGCTTTTTCTTGTCACCGGCATACAAGTAATCCTCCTCCTCCTCCTACTACTAGTAAACTGGCACTGCGTTTGTGGATCCCATTGTATTTGACATCATACTAGAGCCTAGTAGAGGAAGAGTGTCGTGGAGTTCACATAATTATCACAGGGATAGAAATATATTTCTCATGAAATAAAATAATAATTGATGATAGCTAGACGATCGTATACGATTGATGCAAAGTCCTTGCAGTCCTTGAGGACTATTACGAAGTGGTTGATTACTTTTAGGTCATTCATTCAAGCAACATCAAACAAACGCGATAGGATCCTTGAAAATGGAAAAGAATTCAAGCATAACGACAGAACAGCAGACCAATCGAAACGAGTAAAAGCTTCCTTACCTCAGTCATCGTCCTGCCATGTAGTTGGACAGCCTTTTGACACGGTGGTACAGGCAGCTCTTGTCCAGTCAAACAGGGTATCCTTGTGGCGTTGAACGAAAGAGAGTGTCAGTGTACCTGACTCGTCAGATTGGAACGGTGCTGATCCCTTCTCTTTTTCTCCGCTTTCTGCTTTCATCCCTCGCTCTGATGAAACCGTTCAAACGCCTTACTGGCAGCAATGGCCAGCCAAACAGGAGATCCTTGTGGCGTCGAACGAAAGAGAATGTCAGTGTATCTGACTCGTTAGATTTGAACTGTGCTGAACTTTTCTCGTTCTGCAATTTCTGCTTTCATCCCGCGCATTGTTGAAACGTCTTCAGAGAACCACAAGACGCTTTCCAGATTTGATTTTAAACGTCTCCTTATCCTCCTTGGTTACCTCGAGACAGATTACTGTCAGCAACTGCACAGCAGAACTGGCAGCCAAGGCTGAAGCCTGAAGTAAAGAAAGGAATGCGCTGCCACGAGGCAAGCAAAACTGAAAAGGTGTCTGTTCTCTTTCGGGCACAACACACAGGACGGCGTGACTGGATAAACTGGACTCCTGGACCGTGAATAGGGGACTTGTAGAAAAAGTGTACTCCTTATAGGGGATTGCGCGGCAGGATGAAGCTGATCAAAACTGAGTGGATTCCTGGACTCTGTATAGTGGATTTTGGACCAATGGACTCCATATAGGGCGGTGGACATCATATAGCGCATGGACTCTATACTGAGTCCTACATATATTTTGTTACTCATTGAACTACATTTGCCGGGAAAATCCCTTCTGGTGAGATGGCAACGAAGAACTACATTTGCCGGGAAAATTCCTTCTGGTGAGATGGCAACGAATACATTCAAGGAAATCTAACCTGTGCTAATGGTGAGTGTTTTGAAGGTGCAACTAGCTTTACTTATTGCATTCATTTCAATTTATGTTTCCACGAAAACGAGAAGACGTACCTGATTTGTTTGCTTAGCAACTGCTGTGTCTGTACGGTCGTTTGGTTTTACATATACTCCTGTCCTTTTGGACGAAGTGGCAAGAAGTAGCCACGGTGATGTTCACCGTCGATCGGCACTCGTCTCTAGGCACGGCTCACGACAGGTATACTTCTTTCTTCTATCTCTAGACATCTCTTATATCACCAGAACTGCAGTGACGCGGAGTCACTTTTCCGACACCAGTTTGAGCTGATGACGAAAGAGTACCCACATGCTTTCTACTATCCTGATAACGGTGCCAAAAGATAAATGCGGGTTTATCGGGTGAAATCCAAGACCGTCCCTGGATAACACAAATAGCATGAAATCCTAGCTTGCGATTCCATTCCATCATATGAACTGCTCAATAAACTTTCACAGGCTTCATCCTGCTTGAAATGCTGAAATCCCCTATTTTACAGTTGTGTTTACAAGTGCATGACGTCATCTTCTATTCACACTTGAAATGCAGCCCTTTTTGTACATTTACAGTCGGCAGATGTGGCCTAACAAGGTTTAAACCAATCCAACGTTTCGTCGGTTCCCAATATGCAAGGGCGGGTCGGTGGGTGGTTGTCATCCTTTGTGGTTTGGACCACTTAATCGGAGCCGTAAAACATCCCCTCGGTTTCTTTAGCCTCTTACGGTGGGTGCCTTGGCACCCCACCGAGGGCAAATCACACTGTATTCGTCGTTACATGACTCATGCGGATCGACATTGAACTTCAGAACGGATATTCCTGCCGTGCCGTACAAAAGGTGGCAGACTTCATAGCTAGCCGCAGGTTTCCCGGTAGCCTCTTTCATCTCGTTTGGTCAGCGTGTCGTCGTATACGAGCCAGGATTTACATAATTGCAGTCAAACTTTTTGCAAGACTTTGGTCTAGTTTTTTTCTGTTTTCTGTTTTGTTTTGGTTATTGCAACAGCTGCCCGAGATTTTTTCTGCCAGGCATTTCAAGTGGAAGCGTCATTACGGCCAACCATCCATCAAGTCAAGGGCCATCCATTTTTTGCTGACCCAAGCCTCCACATACCAAAACAACTACAAAATAATCCTAAAGTGGTGACATCAAATCTTATAAAAAGACATGTTACTCTCACAATCGATATCATCGGTGCTTTTCGAACAGCGTTACAGATTGACCTTGGACGTCTAACCCAAGCGGTTACTAATCTTCATAGGCAAGAAAACCAGCAAGAAAAGGCAAACTTATTGTTGCAGTAAGTTGTGTCTGTATTTTGTGTTCCTTACTGCTAGTTCTCCGTTCAAGACACTGCAGAACAAGTGCACGTGGGTGGAAGTCGATAGAAATATTGCACATTTCCGTATAGAAAAAGCTAATGTAAGTTGTTTCTAAGGAAAACAGGTGGAGGCGTATCCAATTTCGAAATAAAGGTGTCAGGACCGACGCCATCCACACAGTCAAGTAAGCCAATTTTAGTAACCGAACGTTTTCGTTCCCTTCTCACCATGGGTAAGTACAGGGACTAATGGAACAATGTCAAAATACAGCAACTTCAGCCCTCACCATCGTCTACACGAAATTCAAAAGCGTCGACCTCCATTTTGAAAACATGGTGGCTGGCGGCGCTACCCGTAGGCGCACGTGCCCCCGCGTGTTTTAGCGCGAGCTTCGAGCTAAAGATCATGTCGCCTACTCATTTTCCTGTGTTTCCCCATTTCTTCGAACATGCTCAGCTTTTTGCTTCGCTCGTGCTTCAGCTCCACGCTGTAGTCTGAGTTTAGTTCTCTTGTCTTCTTCCAGCAGAATACTGCAAACTCTACAGCGCATGGAGCTTCTCCTAGAAGAGTTTCTTTTGCATCGAGACAGACTTTCGATGGTTTCAGTTCTACATGTATTCTGCCGTCGTCTCATGAGCGCCCGAAAGCAACAGTATCTATTTTCTTGTCGTTCCATTTTCTGGCGAACTCATTCACCTCCTACTTCTTCCTTTATGAAAGCTTCAGGTGGCTGAGTTCTCCCACTAGCGACAATCATGCCTTGCAAAAGAACAGGATATTCCTAAGGTATGTACAGCCAGTGCAGTGATGACAGTGTACTGCACTGCAAAAAGCACCTGCATGCACTGCGCTTAGTTGTCGGTTGTTTTGTCGAGAAAGAATCCCTTTGATCCCTTTCACACTCGCGCGGGCCGCGAGGGCGCAGCACGGAAACGGGTCTATTGAATTCATTTCTTGGTCGATTTTGACAACCAATGCGTCGTTGTTTTTCTTTTTTCACTGGCTATCCTTTCTTTGCTTCCGAATTGCGATGCCGTCCACCTGGAAAGCCTTGAAGTGAAACGAGCGTAGGCCAGTTTCAGAGGTGATTTTCGGCCAAACGGCAATCAAATCGAAAATTCGAAGCGGACGATCTGTTGGTATCTATCGAAAGAAGACGTTAGTCCATAATTATTTTTTGGAAACTACGCCGTATGAACCAAGGAATTACGGTAAGTTTGAGAATGTTGGTACATTAGCTGTACGCTGATTGGTCGATTAGCGCGAACGTTGACAAATGGACCAGTGATGTTTTGCACGGTGTTGGTGAGGGCTGAACTTATAGACCTAAAGCAGAAGCATAGATCGAGAACCTCGCGATATACGTTTGGGTAAAAATAAAATTCAGCAGAACTTGTCAAAAACAAGGTGAAGTTGAAGAAATGACTAAAACATAATGAAAATATCAGTGAGGAGAAGCATTCCTAACACTTTCACACCTTCACGAGGATTAGCGCCAAACAACTGAAGTGACAAAACATTTTCCTTCTGAACACAGAGTTCCGGGGACAACTTATGAATATAATTAGAACGCTTCCAAAACAGAAACATGTAATACAGATCTGTCACGGGCCAAAACTGAGAAAACATCACCTCTATACAACTCACAACAACTATCACTAGCCGACAGATGACTCGTGATAGCCGATTGCTGATTGCGTCTTTCCGTCACCTCCAGTGTCGCAGCTCTTGACCCGTCCTTTCCACTGCGCAGTCGCCTTGTAGCCACTTCCGATGCCGCAGGTCCTGACTCGTCCCTTCCACCACACCGCTGGTCACTCTCCCATTGTCTGATTATTCCGTTGTCTTGATCCATGGTTTTCGTGGTAGTCTTCCACGCTTTCTTCCACTTTCGCTCGTGGTCACTTCCAGTATCGTCGCCTGCTCATCTCCTCCAGTAAGCATCCACACCTGGTGGCGAGTGACTCTTCGACTAGGTGCCCCTGGCATTGTCTTCTTCTGTGTAGTTTCACCAGCTCTGCACCTCTTTGCCTTGCCGATTTGGGCTTGCCCAAGCCCAGCGCATGCCGTCGATGAAGGAGTCGATTGTGCTTCTGCGCCAGACACCTCAGACTGGGACAATGCTTCACGTGACCCAAACTCAGTAGACACACATTTAAGAGGACGAGTAGATCTACGTCGAGGGCAAGAATCACGTGCGTGTACCAGGACTAACCTCAATGGTACATGCTGACGGATTCGCGCGCCAACATGCTGAACAGTTCTGCCAACATACCGACTCTTGAAAAGGAAAGAAGCATTTTTTGTACTGAGTACCACAGAACCATCAGATGCTGCACAGTGGGGACGGTGGCATATTGGATGAAAGTGGGGGACATGGATACGAGTTAGAGGAACTGTCCACTTACCTAACTAGATACTATATACAGCCAGGAAGTGCTACAACTAGGCACAAAACTGACAGAGTACTGAGACATTCGAGGAATTGACAACTAGCTCCAACATAACCTCCCTAGGTGTCAGGTCATCGAATGTCTCAGTACTCTGTTAGTTTAGTGCCAAGTTGCTGCAATTTCTGACCGTACCGTATTTTCCCCGATTATAAGTCGCACCTTCTGACACTAAGATTCAGGGTAAAAAAGGGGGTGCGACTTACAATCGAGCATGACTTACTACTGAAGTGAATATATCGCAACATTATTGCTCAAAGTATTGGGAAACATGCCACGTACTGCTCTTTTCTCTCCGAAACTCAACACTTGCAAGCCAGATATGAAAGAAAGTAAAAATCATCGGTCACACCACCGGGACTCAAACCAGGGACCTTGCTATTCGCGAGCAATGCTCTAACCAACTGAGCTACAGTATGACTCTTATCCATAGTGATGGTAAATCTATCCTTCTTCGATCAATCCACATCTGGCTTGCATCATACTGGCAACTGACACCAATCAAGAGGGCCCTCGGCCATTCGCTTGTTATCATGGGGAGCGCATCAAACTATGCCGTATCTATCCCGTACCGTACCGTATCATCAAACACAGCTGGCCACATACAGCTGGCCGCAATATTCAAATAGGGTTTTCAAACGCAAGATCATAACGTGAAGCAACTTGGAAGAATGAGTATGAATGCGAAGTGTATGGGGGAATGCATGTAAGGCGATATTGCGAGTTCGAATCCCAGCTAATGCCTGAAAAAAATAGGAGAATTGAAAAATTTATTCCCGTAGCTATGCAGAAGACGTTACTTCAGTAACGTCTGGCGCTAGCCAGGGTCCACACAGCTTAAATTTCCGTAGCTATGCCGAAGACGTTACTTGAGTAACGTCTGGCGCTAGCCAGGGTCCACACAGCTTTAATTTGGTGTTTGTTTGTTTGTTTGTGTCACGCCTGGCGCTATCCCGTATCTTTCCCGTACCGTACCGTACCAGCAAAGACAGCGGGCCACAATATTTTTGTTTGTTTGTGCCACCGGCTTGCCTGGCGCTATCCCGTACATGTCCCCCACCATCAAGAGTACGGTACAATCAAGAGAATGAGCATATATGCGAAGTGTATCGGGGGAATGCACTCAGTGCAGTAACGTTTTGTGTGGATTTGTGTGCGAGGCTGAGATTCCACTAGCAGGCTGGCTGGGCCGCCTGTCGACCAGCCCGGGAATTGCATGTAGGCCGATAGCATAATAATTATAACGTATAGATGTATAGCAGGGAGTCGTATTACCGTAGTTCCGCGCATATAAGCCCATGGGCTAATATACGAAATAATGCATTTTCCGGGGAAAAATTAGTAATAATGGTTCGTTTTTTAGCCCTGGGCCTGTATTCGAATTTTGAAGGCAGCTGGCACGCGAAAAAGTACAAGTCCGTGCGCGGTTGTCCGCCTACCGTAGGTACCGGTACTGGTAATGTAGTCTGCACTGACATGCTGTACTATCGGTTCCGTAACCAGGTAACGGTGTTTGGGTCTCTTTATTAGCCCATGGGCCTATAAACGGAGGTGGGCTTATATCCGGATATAGGCCCATGGGCTTATATGCGCGGAACTACGTTATGTAAACGACTCCCTGCTGTATGGGGAGATTTTCTGGAAAGAAATACGAAGTAGGGAGACAAGTAAATGTAATGAGAATGGACGTTAGTTGCCAAGTAGGTGACTGGAAGCGTCAGCAAAAACATACTTTGGAAGAGAGATCCCGTCGTCTCCAAAATAATCCTGAACGGGCGAGTCAGCGCCGGTCACAGGAAACGTCGGAAAAGAGATCCCGTCGACTCCAGAACGCCCGTGATCGGCAGAGTCAGCGCCGGTCACAGGAAACGGCGGAAGAGAGATCCCGTCGATTCAAGAACATTCGTGATCGGCAGAGTCAGCGCCGGTCACAGGAAACGACAGGACAGACATCCTGTCGACTCCAGAACGCCCGTGATCGGCAGAGTCAGCGCCGGTCACAGGAAACGTCAGGACAGACATCCTGTCGACTCCAGAACGCCCGTGACCGTCAGAAACGAGACAGGTACAGGATAGCGTCAGGCATGCTGATGGCACAAACAACCAAAAATATTGTGGCCAGCTGTTGGTGGCCAGCTAGCTGTCTTTGCTGGTAAGGTACGGTGCGGGACAAATACGGGATAGCACCAGGCTAGGCGTGACACAAAAAAAGTTAAAAAATAAATACCAAATCAAATATTAATCCCGTAGCTATGCAACAGATGTTAGTTCAATATGGTTTGACGCTAGCCACTAGCCAGGGTCCACACAGCTTTGACACGTTACCAGGTTACATGCTTTCATTTCGCTCTGCAAAGAGCACCTAGGGTTGCCTGTAAAAAGACGGCAACGTCTGTAGGGATTTACAAAAAAAATACTACTACTCCTATGCATGATGAGCAAGCAAAAAGCATAGCGTAGGGCCCTGAGCTTCCAAGCTCTCTCGTTTGGTATTTGTTTGTTTGTTTGTTTGTTTGTGTCACATCTGG